CCTTAGTTAAAACAGCAGGAGCACTGTTATTAAGTCAAAGGCTTAATTCCATTCCAGAATAAAGACTTTCCAATTTACAAAGTCTCATTATATTATGGTCCAGAGGCTTGTTTTGTCATTATGTACGCTGAAATTTTCCTGCACCTGTAGTTATGCTTTGTGAGACTGTTCTTGACGCTTTCTATACTCAAATTAGGCTTAATAGTAGATTACCCACACCCAGTAATGCTATTTAAAACAGATACTAGTAATATAATTGTTCCAGTTCTTCAAATTTTCTTAAATTTTTCTTAAATCTCTGAAGATGACAGTGACCAAATAGAATGTTTGAAATCTGTGTTGCACTCATTTGATTGTGGTCATACATGTGACAAATCAGTTCAGAACTGATGTTTCATTCCATGTGGAATTTATGAAGGTCTGTTTTCTTTTCATAACTTTTAAATTATTTTCCTGTCTTAAATTCAAAAACTTAATTTGTCTCTGTGATATGATGTGGTAAGGCTGTACCTACACATTTAGGCTGTAAATCTGCTCTATTAAATCGGTCCGTAGAGGAACAAGAAACTTACCAAGGATATGAGAGAAATGTAGCAAGCCAGGCCCATGTTCAGCAAGGCATTTAAATTGTTTGCCCTAATTTAGGCATGAGGCTTCTTAGTGAAAGAAATGAGACGTCCCTATGCGTATAAGCAAGTGGCTAAATGTGAATTAGTTACAACCAAAACTAAGGCCAAGAAAACTTGTTTTGCTGACTCAGCATGACAGGACTTTGCTTCTTGCATTAAGTCCAAGAGAACCTGTGCTAGCAGCACTGTTTACTGGAGCTATTCTACTTCGCACAAAACTCAAATTCCAATTACGTCCGGCAATAATAATAATAAAACAAACCAAAACACATTGGTATCTCTGACCTAGCTGTGCTGGTAGTTTTATCACTTCACTTCTATCACAGCTCTTTATGGTTTCAGCTGGATACATACACTATTGTGTATGTTCTTTTTTTATGTCAGTAATTTTCATGTTCTTTTAACTGTTAAACAACTGTTATGTTCCCAGCTTAAAGTAAGTCTAAAGGCTTCACCCGGAAGCCTGAAAATAGAAAAATTCTTTTAATCACAACAGAAACTAAACAGGGCCCAAATTTTGTAGAGTGGTTTGAACAAACACATTTAGTATTAAATATTTTCTTGAAATGAAATGAAGAGATAAAAGACCTTGTAATATATTGTCAATGCATTAAGTAGCATCACTATAGTAATAAGACTACAATTGATGTTCTGTGTATGTATGTTAATACTAACATTTGTCTGTTGCTTTTTTCCATAAAACTTTGAAATTACCCTCCCTGCAACTCCATAGTATGTAGACGGAAAACCAGTACAGCCTGTTGTAGAACAAGAGGTATATTAACTGTAAACTCTCTTAACATTTATCTGTTGTGATGTGCTGTGACGGTACGGCTGTGTTTTCATTTTATATTCATTTTCTTTTTAAAATGTTTGCATAGTTCAAGTACTGACAAACTCTGAGAACAGGGGTAAGGATTTGAGAGGGAAATCTTTTTTTATCTAAAAGCTTTTATGGGAGGTTAGAAGCTGAAGTCGGCCGATTTCAAAATACAGTGCTAATTTAATAAGCAATTTCTCTACTTATAACATTTTTGGTACAAGTCAGGATGCACTCCTGCAGCTGCCAAAACAGGAGCAGGGGGTGAGGAATTGAGGAATCCGCACTGCAGTTACAGTATCACAAAGATCTCTCTAGGCCTTGAAATAAGAACAGATAAACCAGTGGTTATCTCATTAAATGTTTCATGTATCATCCTGTCACAATGTTTTAGGTGTTTTAAAACAATTTTGTTAGAATGGGATTACTAAATAGGAGCATACTATATGTTTCTGTATACTAAATATGTTTTGCGTATTTTCAGTACAAAATTTTCCTACGTAACCACCTTTCTGATACTGAAACATTTACCAATATGAGCTTATTCCAAAACACACGTTGAATGTACACCACTCCCACTAATGTCAATCGGAGTTGCAGGTTCATTGCTTCTCTGGAAAAGCCTCTATATTCCTGTAGTTTTGACAGTTGTGGGATATACATTTTTGTTCAGAGTGATGGCTCCTTCATCTGTTCATTTGGATTCAGTATCAAAGAAGTCTCAAGATGCCGTTTCCAAAACCGTAGACAAGTACCTCTGTGAAACGCATACTTTGGCTGGAATAGGTTCTTGTTAGGCTCAAAACTATCAGATGGATATGCAGGTTCTAATCTACCCTTGTACAAGGAGCAAGATTCCCAAGTAGCTGATCACTGAAAAACTGAATGCAAGGAAAATTAAGAAATACTCTTCTTTTTAGCAAACCCTACATACCGGTTCCCTTTCAATACAATATACTGAGACTTTGAGGACCACCTCTTGTGAGCTCTGTTGCTGGAGGAAGGTCCTCCCAGCATAAGTTATCTCACTGATGCTAGTGACACTGTGTACGTGTACCATAGCTGCAGGCAAGCATACATGAGTCTCTACTTTAGCCTGACTGGACAGAAATTGTAGAGTCAGCAGCCATTCAGACTAGCTCTAAAATACAGCTCAGTCTGTGCTTTTTTTCCCCCAGCATATATCAAAAGTATACCTTGTGCTTAGGTTCTATAATAAAATTGGCAATTATATATTTGGCAACTATATATTTAGCTATAATTATTTTTTTTAAAAACCTCGCGTTTGTAATGTTATCTATACAAAAATATCTTAATTCTTACGAAAGTGAAATTTCTGTAGCCTAACTTCATTGTTGATTCTTTTACTGTTATTAGTGGTGATGGGCAAATATGTTTGACCAAATTTGAGTTAAATACTGTTGGCTTGAATTCCAGCGAGGCACAATTGTGAGGCGGAAACATAGACAGTCTGGTGAAATATAGGGGGAAAAATTGACAGAGCGAAGAATGGGCCGAGAAGTAACTAAATGCATTTCTGGCACTATCGAAGTTGACCTTGGAAGGACCAAATTATTATGTAGTGCCAGGGTCCTAGAGGAAAGCGAGACAGCTAGAAAAATTCTTATGATAAAACCAGGTAATATTCAACATATATTATATTTTAATGTAATATACTGTCTGGCTGAAGTGGAAGGGGCAGATGAGGGAAGAGAAGGCTGAGTCCTAGCTAGAAAACTTTGTCAGCTGACTATTGGATTTAAATTGAATTATCTGTAAGCAGGAACGTGGAGGGGGTGGTGTCATTTTGAACCGTGAACTTCAAATACTTTTTTTCAACTTTTAAAATATCGTGTACTGGATTGCAAATGCTCTGAGTGATTTGATTTATTTATTTATTTATTTATTTTGGTTTTCCCTCTTTAAAAAAAACAGAGTAAGCCACTTGTGAAAGGCAGCAAGTATCAAACCTTGCCAGGAAAGCTGCCTCGACCCTTACAGAACGGAGAGCAGGGAACATATAATTTGCCAGATGGGTGTGGCACGAACGACAATGAGGACAACAGCATCCTGGGCCTAAGTATGTATCCACGCCTCTCTGAGAGGGCTATGTAGAAGGGAAGAAAGCAACCTGTTTGAGGATTGGGACATGACATGATATATAATCTGCTATGCCAGAACAATGGACTATGATGTTCACGTGATTCAGTTAGGGAAAGTTCTACTTCCTTTTTTTAACAATGTACCAAAAATATTCCACATTAGCTCACTGGAGAGTAAAGGATGGTTTTAAATTAGAGTGTTCTTTTCTGTCGCACTTGATGATGTGATTTGCTGACATCATCGATAGCATAAGTAATGAAGAGACACTGTTTTGAAGATTGTGGGGAGAGCATTCTGAAAGTAAGTCAACAAATCTGTAACTAAAAATTGGAACTTTTAGAGATGCAAACATATTGACAATATGAATAGGCAGTATTTTTTCCAGACACGCTTCCAGTGCTCCCCTGAGCTTCCTGATCTGTTTTCTTAAAAAACAAGCAAGCAAACAAAAATGCACAGCCAAGTACATCATCAATACTTTTAAAAAATAGACACTAGATGGGTGTATTAAACCAAACAAACCTGTCCCTTGCCATCCCGTGGCATTTTAGTGTGTGAAACTTTACAATATAACTAGCCCTAACGTGCACATTTCAGGCAAAAATCCTAGTATCAGCACTGTTGGTTGCTGTAGCTGTGGGGACCCACAAGTGAAAAATTAACTTGCTAGGTGCAGAAAAACATCAGTGGATTTTGAAAGTACAAGTATATTGTTATTCCACAGCCATGTGTGGAAGCTTGTATTAATTCTTTTCAGTGACATGTTAAGCATGGATTTATTGACAAAAAGTATTACAGTGAGGCACAGAACCAGGTATTTGCCAAGGACTGAAGAGCTTGGGAGCTCAGGCAGAAGAGTATGCCTTGCAATTTTGCAGTGTTCCTACACCTTAAAAGATGAGGTGGGGCTTTTTTTTGTTTGGTGGGGTTTTTATGGTTTTTTTTAGGGCCTCGTGGTCCTAAAAGCTGGTTCAATAGGTTATGAGTTGTTCAGGGTTTTTTAAAAGAGTTTTTCAGTGATTGCAACATTGTAGGCAATGCATGAGCCATGCTATTATGTCTTCAACTGCAGGATTATCCAAGGATGGGTGATCTTGTAAAGGAAAATGTTCTTTTTCTAGAAACAAGCAATGACTCCTTAAATACACTGAATTAACAGAATTTTTTTATGCAGGTTGATTTGTTTCTTGCATTACACCTCCAATTCTATATTTCAGAGGAATCTGATGTAATCTTAGACATTGCTTCATTTCAGATATTCTGCAGGCTTTATGGAGCTCTGTAGTATATGCTTTGTGTTAAAATTGTCTAAGAATAGTTTTAAAAAAACCAAACAAACAGATAAATGATCATCCCTATCTTTTCAAGATGACCTGTACAGAATTCTTGGGGCTTGTACAGGTCAATGCGTATTTACTTTCATGTCAAGCATAACTGCTTCTTTTCTTTTTGTTTCTGCTTTTAATGCTTAGCTTACTTCTTTGCTCTTCTGTAACTTTATTTTGCTGGTGTTTTATATCTTCTTTGCTTCTTCATCTGGCTTTCTGCTTCTTGGGATGACTGAAGATCGCATCAGGAGTGTCAGTGCGCCAGTGCTAGGTACTGTATCCAAACAAGATGTCACTTTAACATGAATTTTGCTGCTTATTTTTTTTCCTTTCCTTTTTCTCTCCCTTTCTCTTCTCTATGAAATACTAATACCAAGTGGGCCATCCAGGTTGAATTCCTTAAGTGCAGTACTGAAATGAACTAACGGCTTTTGCTGTATGGCATTTGGATGGGATTTTTTTCAGATACTTACTCCTGGTTTTTCACTGAAGTCAACAGAAAAATTCCCACTGATTTTGAAGGAGGAGTTTTGGTGTTAAGAATAGGCAAGGCAAGAGTCTGAAGAGTCTGCTTCAGTCTGAAGACCTTGTATTAATTAAAATAATGTATTTAAATACAAATGACTGAAATAACAATACTATTTCACCCAACGTTTTATTATTTTCTTTTTTGTATCAAATGTACAGCTACTTTTTTTTTCACCTTCTGAGCATTTTTTTTTTAATACAAGAACAATTTTATAGATATCTTCACTTTTTTATTACGTTCTGTATTTAAACATTAGTCTCCCAGATAAAAACTTAGTTAATAATCAGTATAAAATGTGACTGTATTACTGTTCTTAACCCAGGAGAAACGGAGAATGTGGATGGTACCGTAGTCTCAGATGACCTTTCACCTCTTTCTTCGGGAACAGATTCAGGTCCACAATCTCCATTGTCTCCAGAAAACAGAAAGAGTCCAAAAGGGATCAAGAAAATCTGGGGAAAGTAAGATTGGTTTTTTGTTTTTTTGTTTTGGTTTGGTTTTTTAGTTCCCTGTCAAAGCATTTTGGCTGAGAATGAATCCCGTTCTCAGCAAAAGCTACAATATCTACAGCAAGAATAAAGTAAAATTCAGGAAAAGGAGAGAAAGCAGCTCTGTGATTGTATGGGTGTGTCTCTATGTACACATGGGTGTAGAAAAATGGGTGGTAGTGTTCACAGCGTCATGCTGTTGGAAGAAATAATACTCTGCTGTCTTGTTATAATGCTAGTAATTGAGAATGCCAACAGTTTCATTAGCTATGAAAAATTAAATGATAGCAAGTTGTTCATTACAGAAGCCATCAGGTTAAAAAATGAGAGAAAATAGAAGAAACAAAAAGCAGAGGGGCTGAGTTTTACTGTGTTTGCTCTATCTGCTTCAGGACAGCAGACATTTACGAGTCTGGCCTCCAGTGCGGATTATTACTTGGGTTGAAGGGTTATGCCTGCTCTGCACAGCTTTTTTTCTTCCCTCAGAATTAGGTCTAGACAGTGTTTGCCTAGAACTTCAGCTACCGCTTGAATTAGATGTTTGTGGTTTACAGGAAGATTAATACAGCTTCTAGTTGTTATTATAGTTTCCATACAAAACAAATGTTCTGTGTTGCAAGCTAATAGTACTTTCTTGGCACTCTTGTCTTGAAAGAATAAGAAGAACTCAGTCAGGTAACTTCCCTGCAGACGACCTGGGTTTGGCAGAGTTTCGAAGAGGTGGTCTCCGTGCAACAGCTGGACCTCGGTTATCCAGATCAAAGGAAACCAAAGGCCAGAAAAGGTAATGGTTCCTTCTTTACCGCATCATGTGCTGTGCAAGGTATTGTTAAATGTGCTGAACAGCCAAACCCTCCTCTTGTGAAAGACATTTTTCCCAGCGTACTTCATTATGTGTGGAATTCCACAATGACTGGAAAGAATTTCTCTGGTAGGAAATGCATCCTGAGCAGCTCACCTATCTGCACCCCTTCAACTGCAGGTTACAGCACTAGCTGTTTGTTGGAGTGTCAAAAATTTCACCTTGTTAAAGAACAAGAAATCTTATCATCATCTCACGTGGGAATATCTGCAAAGTGATGAGGATTCAGCAATTCCCTTTTTCTTCTTTTCAAACAGAAAATGGGCAATTCTTATTCTCTGCCTGTCCCCCCCACCCCAACTGTTCATGAGTTGAGGCTGGGCAGCCAAATTAACAGGACACTAGTACCATGGCATGTACTGCAAGAATTGCTGTTGGCTTTTATGACTGCACAGAACAAAGCACACTAAAACATACGCTGTAGTACTGCCTCTGGCACACAATAAGCTTTCTGATAATAACCGTAACTCTTTCCTTTAAGAGTTTCAAACATTTCTTGTACTTTTCAGTGACTACAATGCGCCGTTTGCTCAGTGGAGCACTGAAAGAGTTTGTAACTGGCTTGAGGACTTTGGTCTTGGTCAGTACGTCATTTTTGCACGGCAATGGGTGACTTCAGGCCATACGCTGTTAACTGCGACACCTCAGGACATGGAAAAGGTAATAATCTGTAACTGTTTCTCTCAAGCAACCATACATGTTGATTCTGTACAACCAGGCCCCTTCAAACAACTGGCAGTTCTACCTTTCTGAAATATGTAGTATCTATTTTTGTAGATACCTAATGAGATGAAAAGAGCCAGAGGCAAGGCAAACAATTTGTTAATGGTTATTGTTGCAGGAAATGGGAATAAAGCATCCGCTGCACAGGAAGAAACTAGTTTTGGCCATTAAATCAATAAATGCAAAACAAGATGAGAAGTCTGCACAACTCGATCATATCTGGGTGACACGTAAGTGTTTGAACTATCATGGAATTGTTTGGAAAGGAATTTCCCCCACCCCTATAGATGGGCTGCCTGATATATGTTTGTTTAAGCAGTTACCAAACATCTTTTTAAGAGCACTAAGTTTCAACATCTTAAAATTTTCCAGAGAATGAGGATTTTTATGTTGTTCTTGACATTCAAATATACAGCTATGCAGTATGATCTTCCAAGGGGAACTCTGTCATTCAGATTGCAGGGAAGTAAACAGGGGTGGAGGGTTCAATCTAGCAAGAGCTACATTATGAGGCAGAAGGTATGTGCTCAGTCACACACTGTATGTAAAATATCACAGGGGTATTGTGGACAAAGCTGTTGGGTGGGAATTGCTTCTAGGCTTCTGGTAAGAGACTGTCCTTTGGAAAGGTGAATAGGTAGAACGAGCTACCTGAATGGCTCAGAAGCGAGCCCAGACAAGAAGGGGAGAAGGGCTTCATTCTCACTGATCTGGATTTGGGTACACCACTGTTCTCGTATCTGCAGGATGGCTTGATGATATTGGTTTACCTCAGTACAAAGACCAGTTTCATGAATCCAGAGTTGATGGGAGAATGTTGCAGTACTTAACTGTGGTAAGCTAAAATCCTTTTTCCTCAGTTTAGCCAAATTTAACTTCGGAATGAGCAAAGAATTTTACAGTTTTCCTTTGAATGTGAGCAATTAAAGAATTTTTTGCAAGACAGAAATAGTGCCAGTAGTCAGTCAGTCATTTGTGTCATCTAATGCGTGATTGCTATTCCTAAGGTACATAAAATAAGTCATAGGGTACATTATAGCTAACTTCTGCAAAGTCTTTCTTTCAATATCATATAGCACACCACAATTAAAGGTAAAATGACCTGTTTTGCATGCAGTTTCTGGAGTGTGTTTTTCTCCACACCAAGTTAGCATCAATATTCAGTAAACTAAAGATAACAGCAAATCCAGTAATTCATACAGCTCCGACCACATTAGCAGCAAACCATGGACTACACGTGCCACTGTGTTTTCTTACAGTTTCCCTGCCCAGGTTTGGATGATCAAGTATTTGTTTTTGTTAACTGTGCTATGAAAAAAATGCCTAATTTAGCTGTTATCTGAAGTACAGCCTTGTCTATGCTGCTTAAGGAGCCTTTGTTATAGGAGCATCGTCCCTACTGTCCCATCATTAGGTGCGTGTTGCTAGCTGCAGTGATCCTACCCACAACAGGATCTTAACCAGATCAGAAACAGTCCATATATTTTAAAACTATCCATGAGCCTGGATTTTACGTAATAAGCTACAAGCTCTCCTTTTTTTTTTTTTTAGCCAGGTCTTGCTATGGTGCAATGCTTAAAAAAAAACCTAAACAACAACAACAACCACCCCCCCAAATCCCCACCCTAAAAAACCCTCTTCAAGATATAAACTTTTATTTTACCTAAACCATAGTTACTGTGGTTTATATAAAACTACATAGCAAGCTTGAAGTCTTTCTTCTTGGGGAAAGTACCTGTTTTGGTATGTATTCTGTGCCAGCTAAAAGGCTCTCTCCTTTACAGAATGACCTTCTTTTTCTGAAAGTCACCAGTCAGCTGCATCATCTGAGTATTAAATGTGCCATTCATGTGCTGCATGTCAACAGTTTTAACCCCCACTGTCTACGCAGGAGACCAGTTGAGGAGGTAAAAGTATGTTTAAGTAATTTAATTTAAACAAGCACTAATTACCTGATTCCAGCCAAAGGGGATAGAAAGTTAGCAGTGTACGATGATACAATAGAATCACTGCTAGTAGGGAATTGCGTCTAAAGCAGCAGATACGCTGCCTTCCAGCTCTGGAATGTAACATGTACTCACCCATAATAAGAATCTACTCACTCCTTAAGTGCTTGAACCACTTATTAGTTGAATCTCATGTACTTCCCTTTAGAAATTATTTGCTTGGTTTAAAGAAGTTAATTCAACTTCCGAGAGAATAATTTGAATGTTTTTTCTTGCCTGTCCTAATTTTTAACTCTCAAAAGACAGTAAGGTTTTTGCCTTACCTGGACAGCATAGCTTATTCTCTTAGTATTAAAGACTGGCAATAATACTGTTCTCAAAATGCTCCCTTTTGTTCATCAGCATCTGTAGTCTCTATTGTTCTACTACTTGATGCAATATATGGGGTTTCATCTGTACTAGACTATGCCTGCCACCTCATCAGAGGATGTTTGAAAGAGGCCTTGCACAGAAACAAGACCTTAGAATCCGGGAAAAAATACTGCTCTTTGAGGAAGAGGAGGAACAATGGTTTTATCTGAACTGAGGATACATGTTGTGAACATGCAGTGACAATGCAGGCTATCGTCATCACCTTTTCTGGTTACTTTAACAGAATAACGTTTCACCTTCTGAAGTAGTTCAGTGGTCCAATCACAGAGTGATGGAATGGCTCAGATCAGTCGATCTGGCAGAATATGCACCAAACCTTCGAGGAAGCGGAGTGCATGGTGGCCTGATTGTAAGAATTTGTTTCAACATTTTACTACGTATCTAATAAACATTGACAGACTGTAATATAAAACATCTTTTATCTGGTGTTTGTCAAGCAGGAGGAAGTGAATACATCTGCAATATGACAGCATGATCAGGCCTTCTAAAGAGCCTCTGTATCTGATCCATGCATCTTAATTTTACAAAGGAAAACTAAAATAAAAAAGGAACTGCTAAAACATTTCTTATAATCAAAGCTGAGCTGTGCATGAGTGTTTAACAGCAGTATATTAAAAAAAAAAAACACAAACTGTACCGTGGGAAAGTTACTTACTGGTAAGGCATCATTGAGTGTTTGAGTGGTTTTAATAGAATTCTGAGCCACAGTAAATAACTGTCCTGAACTCAGAGCAGTCTTGCCAGCAATCAGGAATGACATTTTTTAAATTTAAACATTGAGAACTATTTGCAGCTTAGTAAAGTCAGAGTTCTGAAATACCATGATTCTAGTGCTGTAGAACTTTTGCAGAAATGAAATAGAAAAAATGGTGTTAAGTTTATACACTCAGAGTAAGCAGAAAATTCTGAAAACAAATTTGTTCGACCCAAACAAATATAAGGTTTGATGATAAATATTAATGAGTATTTGCCTGATCACGCTCTGCATTTCTTAGTGCCTACTTTCATGTATTTCCCATTCAAGCCCTAGTGAGCGTCATATCACAAGTGAGTTATAAAAGGTCTAATGTATATAGACAGCTTAGTGAGAATGAGCAGTCCCTCTGATAAGCACTGTAATGGTTTACTATTGCAAACATTTAACCATATTAAAAAATAAATATTCTGCCATTTTTTAATAGATTCTCGAGCCTCGCTTCAACGGTGACACACTGGCAATGCTGCTGAATATTCCACCTCAAAAGACCCTACTGCGACGCCACCTAACAACCAATTTTAACGTATTAATAGGACCAGAGGCACAGCAAGAAAAAAGAGAAATAACGGAGTCAACAGCATACACACCTCTGACCACCACTGCCAAAGTTCGGGTGTGTACTGCTTTTAAAAAGGAGATATTTCAGAATTTCAGACTTCCTCTCCCCTGTCTTGTAAAGAAAGTAAGGGACAAACATGGTCAGGGAGAGGTCATTTCTAGGAGGAGTGTTACATTTTCCTTAATTCTAGATACCAAATTATTTAATTTGTATCTGTTCAAATCAGCTTCTAAAATAAGCGTGCAATCCCTTCTGTCTTTTCTTAGAACTACCTAAATGTATTTAAAATCAACTGTAACTCCCAATTTGAAAACAAATAAATTTATTTAGTTCAGAATCTACGTACTTTAAGGACTAGGGTATAGCAGTAAATCAAAAAGGAGAGGATTTTGAATGTTTAAAGGACGACCTTGTTTTTCTTGTTTAAAACTTATTGTCTTCTTATTTTAGCCAAAGAAACTTGGATTTTCACATTTTGGAAACTTAAGAAAAAAGAAATTTGATGAATCAACAGACTACATTTGTCCTATAGATACAAACCCAGCTGCTACGAACGGTACTCAGAAAAACTATGGTGGATACAAAGGACTTAGTCCATTCACTGATAGGGAACTGGACCAGGTGGGACAGACAGACTGATGCCATTCTCATCTCATCCTCTCCATGCATTCCAAAGCTTGCAAATAACCACATGTTAGCACATAACAAAGTATTTGCTACATCCGCATGAACTTGTTGAGAAAGTATTGGCTATGGACACTGGGAAGAGTTCTATACTAAGAATGTCAGGCTAATTTTTTTAATCAACACAATAATAAACTCATCCATCTTCAAGCCCTTTTTCAGGAATGTAACACCTTTACACTACGAAGATCGATGTATTTTGACAGTTAAGGTGGAGGTTGCAGTAAACACAAAACTTTTGTACTTCTAGCTTTCATAATCTGAGTACGGCACACTACTTCTTTATCTTTATGGGGTGGTTTTTAATGTAATAAATTTATTTGGACTAATTTGTACAAAGCTATCAAGTTATATATATTAAAATACAACTGGATTGTATATTTTTAGCAGACGTTAATCAAAGAATCCAACTAAATTTTCTTTCATTATGTACCGTGGGGAATAGTTATGCTTAGACAGTATATGTGAAAACAATGCATCAGTAATGAACAAGATTATTAATAAACCAATACTTAAATAATTCACTTTTGTTATGTACTAGTGAACTTGTGAATGAAACTGTCTTGACATCATACAGACAAATGATGAAAACTAAAAACCATCAAATTTTATTCAACTTTGCTGTTGTGTAAAGGGATGTAAACCCTGAAAAATGGAGCTCCTGGAGGCTTGTGTGAACTGTGGCAACACACAAGAGCCAGACAGAGGCAGCTGGGGTAAACTGTCCTATCTGCAGTGACCTTAAGTGAGAGATAAAAACACTTTAAGCCTAATAAGAGAATGGTCACAAAATTGAAGAGACTAACTAACTGTGAAAGTAATTTTTTCATTTGCATGGTTTACTGCATCTAACATCTCATTTGTGTTCATTATCTAACCATTGTCTTTTTCAGTGTACACCTTAGCAAAATAAAGTACTATATACACTGACTATAATTTAGTATGGATGTCCACTTGCACGGTTAAGAGTTGCAAGTGAATGCATTAACTTTGAGCCAACAGCTTACCCTATGCAGTTGTTCAAGTGTTACAAAAATAACGGATTTTTCTCTAGGAGCATGGTCTTTCAATTAAGCATGACTTCTGAGCATGTGGTCAGGCCGTGAAATCTCAATGCCCTAGAACTGATAACCTTTTCATATAAGAATAGGTAGGACTGTATCATGAAGGACTCTTTCTTACCACTTGCCTGTGGAAGACAACTACCAGAAGTATAAGTGTTACACCGTCTGGAAAACATTACTCTTCACTGACAATATCAGTTAAGCTTTTTCTTTTCTTGTGTGAATTACAGCTCAAGTTTCATGGAATCAGTCTTCCTTCATCAGGATTCACTCCTCCTATCGTTAAATGCATTTTCACATACTTTATAGCATGGAGGCATTTTTGTTAATGTGCAGAAATCACAGCTTTTAAACGTACCACAACTTCATTTGTCTAGGCACAGATACCTCCCAAAGATGCATGTAGAGTTAATAAAGTTGCACATACTGTCTGATTTGAACTAGTTCCTGAATACTTTTACAGATGGAACATTCAGAAGGAACAGTAATGCAAATAGGGGCTCTTTCTCAAGGCATAAGCCATCTTACGGTATGTACTAATTTCACTCTTGTTTTAAAGTCACAAATGTGTTCTGCTGGGATTCAGTGAAAGTTGGTCATTGCTGGTGGTAGTTAGAGTATGTGGGTCATTATTCTTGTTAGATACCTCTTTGTAGCCTGGTTGTGCATTCACAATCCAAAAACATCCTGCTTTTAAATCACACTAGAATTTAAGTTTCAATTAGGCCTATTTTAAGTTTCCATGAACTCTGTCTCTTTGACCCAATGACAGATATTCATCCCCTTAAATGAAAACAATTCTTCAAAGATTTTGCAAGTAACCACCATCGAATGCCTCAGTCACAGAAAGTCTAGCAAAGAGGTACAGACTTGAAAATTTACATGAGCTAAAACTCCATGGAAAACAAAACAAAAAAATCACTGTATTAATTCCTGACTCCCTAGCAGCTAATTTTAAAAAAAAAGCTGACTGAAAGGTATAATGAAGAATTACATGACATAGTTGAGTCACATGCCACGCACAATCTCTGTGAGAATTTCCTCAAGCAAATAATAGTTTATTTAAAGCTATATTCAAGAAATTCCTTTTAATTTTATGTGGCTCTAACTCCCTCTGTTGTGAATCTGATCTCATTACACTTGGATTTCTTTAACTATAGGCCTCTAACTGAATATGCTTACTCGTTCACATCTTGTTTTTTCAGACGATGTTAAGCCAAGATGAAATGCTGAATGACAGCCGATTTTTAACACCTACCTTTGAAGACGATGTTTCAACATGACAAAGAACACTAATACCTCATGCCTGTCCAGAGGGCTGGCCAGGAGAAGCTTGATGCTGTGGTGCAGAAAAGCTTCACCTCTTTTCTGCCAACGAGACTTATCACGTAGCATTTAATATTGTCAAAGTAGCAATGCATTACGGGTAACTCTCCTCCACGCCGTTTTCTGTATTTCGTAATGTGAAATAGGTGTCGAGAGAGGTGGTACTCACATCCAGAGTCTGGAAAGCCAAGACTGGCAATACATTTTACCCTTTTATTCAGTCATCTTTTACGTGGTATGTTTATGTACTGTTATATGAAAGATCTTTTGTAATTTTTTATTTTTGTAATTAAGTTGTAATGCAGGAATCATTAATACTCTATTGTACCATGTGTACTAATCAGAGCCACCTAGAAATTCAGATGGATGCTGCTGAGTGCAGCAGTAATGGCTCACTAACTACTACTGCAGTCTTGCCAGAGACTGTTTCCCATAAAAGGATTTTAATCTCTCATCCCTTTCATTAGCACATGTCCTGCCCTCTTTTTATCTTAAGTGCAGCGTAGAATGGGAAGAAAGGACCATAATACTATCCATCAAGCCCTTGGTTTTATCAGGAGGATGCCAATCAAGATGGCATGTTCACAAATCTTTGCCTAACTCAAAAGATGAACAACTACAGCAGGAAATGTAACTTTGAGACTACCAGAAAAACTGATGGACTCAAAAGCTGGTGCTTCATTTAAAGTGATTTTTTTTTTATCGTGTGATTTTTACACGTGCACTAAGATGTTCACGATCAAGAAGCAATCACAACACTTACTTAACTAATGTAAAATGTAGCTTTAAGAATGGTGTTCCCTGCGCTCTGTAGGGTAAGCGCAACAGAATTTCCAGCATGATCCATTGTTTGGTTTTAAATGGGAGTTCTTTAACTAGAACTATTGAATGGGCTCTTTCTGTACACTGACATTTTGTCTAAAAGGGCTAGTACCAACACACACGCGCAAGCATCAGGATGCTCATAAGCCTTCTGAACAGTCAAAATTTTCCCTGTACCTGGGTGGTCTGAAACATAGTACGGGCTCTCAGGAAGACCGGGATGGTAATAAGCCTATTTTCTTTCTGTAGTTACACCTAATTAAACATATGGCTGCAAACAGCCCTGAGGACTGGAGATTGCAGTAGAAACACTTTTGTAATATTTGCATGAGAACTGGTGATGTTGTAAACAATATTGCTGTTCACTTTCAGTTCTCAGATTTTCATAGAATACTTCATTTATCAATAGGAGACAAATGTTACTGCTCTGTGATGCGTAAAATGTGACTAAGGAGCATCAAGCAAGTACCATAATAAAACAAATTTTTGTTTCTTTAAAACACCTGATAAAATAGATCTGTTGCTGTTCTACTGAGCTAGGCAGGCCTGCAGCACTGTAACAGAGGGAAATATGGCCTCTCACTACTTACTTGAGGGGCTGTTGGAGGGAGAAAGTGTCTCCTTTACAGCAGCAATTACTTACTTGTGGCATCTGTTGACGTGTGCCTCTCATGTATTAATAAGGTATTAACGAGATATCTTAGTAAACAGGGAAATGCCAGAAAAGAAATCTGCTCAGTTGTAAAGAAAAGACTTAGTATGTAATATGGATGGGTTTTGCATTACTCCCTCCTTGCTGGCTGCAGGGTGTTGGTTTACTTATTAATATAGCCTGAGGGCAGGTCATTCCCAGCCGCAACCCCCCCAAATAAAGGGGAAATCTCAGTTACTGTCCAGAGTATGCAGCAAGGGCTCTTCAAGAGCTATTAGTGGCACTTTTTAAAGGTGACCTATTCTAGTCCTCACTCCATGAGCCTCTCATGACAGACCCTGCACTGTATGGTCAGATTTTAGAAGCTAAAGACGATTTTATTGTTCAAAATGGTAAAACCAAGGCAATTTTTTTTCAATCACTGAACAATGAAATGATAATGGGAAATCCAAAGGACTGAGAAGTCGGTCTACACATCAGCAAACTACAAATGCTTAATAAAAGGTATTAAATGACCAGTCAAGTACATCTCTAATCCGGCAATCAACACTAGTGACGAGATCATATACTATGGGCATTTGAAATACTTTGTCAGGTTAACTAGCCAGCAGACTTATTACAGCACTACAAATAGGATAAGCTGTTCCAACAGAGACAGCCTTAATATCACAGGCATATTCCTGTGATAAGCAGATTTTCAGATTTCAATCATGTATTTATAACTCAGTGTGGTGGTGTGCTAACTTAGATGTAAATAGTCAATCTAATATACAAAATTATTGATTTTTTTTATATACATATAGTAAGAAATCCTAATTAGCATAACAGGCATAAATGCTTATTTTTTGACTGTTAGGAATAAATTCGGAATGTTCCTCCATCTCTTGCTGACTGTGGAATGATTTTAACACAAATACGCATGGCTGATCTCTCATCAGGGACAGAATCACAGTCTGAATCCCTGTGTTTGTCTTTGCGTTGTTGCTACAAATATAACTGATGAAGTACACAACCCATATGTCAATTTTTAACTAGTCAATTCCTCCTTTGGTTTTGCTTTAGATGAATAAAAATATTTATTCATTATTAGCATATATTCATATATGCTAATAATGAATAAATTATTAGCATATTCATTAGCATCTGAAGAAACAAGTCTTCTGGCTCAGGGATTTGTCAGACCCTAAAACAACTGTGGTATAAACTTAATTCCTGGAAATGAACATGCAGTACTTCAGGCACTGAAGACAAAATTAAATGCTATGTGCTAAAAACACTGAGATAAGGCATGAGCTGAGTTTAAGATCAACTCAGCATAGCCTACAATAGGAAGTAAGAAGCCATGTTCTCTCTTAAGCAAAGGAAACTTCTGAAACTGCCAAAAAATCAAGCACTACGCTTAGAGAATGACATTCAAATGGTGTAACATCGCTGGATAATTACGTCTGTATATACAGCCCAGAACTTCCATGTACAGTTGGCAGTGATTGTTTAGCTAAGGCTGTTAGAAGACAACGTGAAGTTATGTAGTCCTCCTCAATAAATTTCACACTAATGAGAATTTCTGTTACGGTAATAATAAGCAATTTGCATGTTACCCAAATTCTGTTCACTTTTTCGATAACATACTGTGGCTTCTTTCTTAGTCCCTGCTAAAGGGCAGTAAAAGAGCATTTAAAAAAAAAAAAAAAAGACTGTTCTTTGTACTCTCCTTCCCCAGGACACACTAAATGAATTACCTATAGAGCACAGTCAAATAATCCTAGTCCAGTTTTATAGCCCTCTCCCACATTCCATACCCACATTAACAGACATGAGGTTTTATCTCTGTCCTACCTCTCTGATTACACTTAATTTTTTTTCCTCAGAATTAACATTTCATACTAACTTAAGAGGTTAGACTAAGTTACTTCCACACAATTCAGGATGATCTCTCAACTTCTTAGTATTAAACCACGCAAAGTTAATTATGAAGTTATAAACCACAGAAATTACATTAAGCAGATAAAAAACACACAAAAAACCCCACTGCACAGTTACATACCAGTTGTTCCTGTAGGAGAATATGCAGTACTTACGAAAAGGTATCAGATGACATCAGTGTTAATACGAAAATGTACTGCTCTTGGGATAGCCAAGTTTGTCCAGGTTGGGCTGACACGCAAATTGAATCATAGGTGGTGGCCCACACATGAGAATGAGTGTCTCACTGCTGGGGGAAGGGAGGTGGGTTTTAATCATGTCTGCAGTGACGAAGCCAGAACTGTACTTCCAATCTGAAACAAAGAAATTAAACTATTAATTTGAATCTCTGTACAATCTGAAGCCTTTTTAAACTGCATACATGGTACCCACAAAGTAGCTGAAGAATCAGCAAAGTTATGCCACCATCACTGCAAGACACTGCAAGCCATGAGAGGGTTAAATCTCTCACTGAACTCAAACATGTCCCCTTCAATAGGGACAACAAGCATGTGGATAACGAGGATCTGGTTGATAAGACATGAATGTCTGTGAATAAATGATAGATTTAAAAGAATTTAGACAGCAGGTAGGAATAAATAGGAAGAGTACATCAGCTTTTCCAGTGAAGAGAGGTCACCCAGGGGCAGCTGTGCAGGGAGAGGTATCAAGATCTGTGCCATCCAACACATCTAAAAAAAAAAAAAAAAACAACAAAACACCAGAAAAGAGATTGAGTGGTGAGGTGACAAAGTTTGATGATGACAAAAGTTCTGCCGTGTCGTTAAGTGATGAGAGAAAAAAAAAAAATTGAAAAGAGGAAAGATGCTAAATGATTTCAAGCTGTAATATTATTGAATGCATCTGCCATTTAAAGTGAGCCAAGTAGGAAAAATAATCCTGCCTTCGCATATAAAAATAGGTGCTTTAAGCTCATTTATCAAGAGCAAGATATTGGGGCTATGAAAACAGCAGCAGTCAAAAGGCATATGAAATGTTAAGAAGTATTAGGAAAGGAAAAGGGAACACCACGTCAAATTAGAAATAGAGAGTTTGCCTGCATCTTGACTACTGCTGTTCACTTCTGATCTCCTCAGCTCAAAAAGGGACATAGCAGAGCTGGAAAAGGTTGAGAGAACAAGGTTGAGCAAAGGTATCTAATCACTGCTATATGGGGAAGACCAGCAATCTTCCGTATAGAAGAGATGGGGCAGCAGGGGTGATCGATAGATGTCTGTAACATTAGTAACGTGAAGACCTATTCACACACTCTCCCACACAAGAATTAAGAGGCAAATGCAAACCGGAGGAAGCCATTCTTCACACAAAAGTGCTAATCCTATGGAACCACTAACAGACTGCGAAAAAGCTCACGCAGGCTCCGAGGGATACACAGTAAGTTCATACAAAAGTAGTCCACTGAGGGTTACTGTATCTATAGAGACACATTTGGCTCAGAACTGAGAAATATTAAAGACTGGAAGAGTATCAAGGCCTGCTCATTACTCTTCTCTGGCCATCTACTCATGGCTATCGGTGACAACAGGTACAGAACTTTGATCTGACTCAGTTTGGCTCTTGTATCTGTTAAATAAAAGCTCAGATCACTTACAACATCAGTGAATATGAATAGCCAAGTTTCAAAGGAGATTCAGTGGAGTTCAACCTCTCCCTCCATTTCTAATTCAGTGCTACACCAGCCTACAGTTAATGCCTTAATCTATACACATGGCAGCTCTGTTTTACCAGAATCTAATCTACAGCTGCTGCAAAACAAAGATGTGCATGTTCTATTTACAGGTATTAAGCAATTTAATGCCAACAAAATGCTAACATAACCTGACTGGGGAGATAGCCCAAAACAGAGCTGTAACTTTTGCTGAAAAGTCCAAGAAACTGGCACACCCTGAAATAAATCAAAAGATCCACCGAGTAACCTGTGTCTCACCCAACAGGAGTTAATTATTGGTTCACGCTTTCTAAGGCCCACCTGGTTTGGAACACTTTTCAAAACAGGTGGTGTGGTAAGACTTGTTTCTGAGGGGTTGGGGGAGTGTCTTTGTTGTTTAAAATAGTGTAAGACAGCAAGACTTAATATTATACCAATAGTCCCTTGAACAAGAGTGAAACTCTGAGTGTTGTACGGTGACGAGCAAAGGCATTTCCAGTGTGTACCAGTAGCCTACCTTGGGGAGGTCTGTCCAGTGTATACCAAAGCGTGAACTGATCAGGATGCCTCTTAGCAATGTCTTCTAGCTCGGCTCTCAGTAATATATCTTTTTCTGTCTGCAAAATGAGACCGCTGGTTAGCTCCAAACCATCTCAGGATGCCCTCTAATGTGAGCTCATCTGGCATTCAACAAGACAAATGCAATGATAACTCATTCAAACCAAGCAAGTGACTCCCCCCCCCCGCCCCCTTACATGATAGGCTATTATCATTACAGGCTTCTGTAAATTCAAATTAACAACAACAAACTATGAGACTGAATAGCCACCTAAACACTGTCTTAAAGATGGCAATTTGAACAAATTTTTAATCCAGGCTAGTATCACAATTAGCTGGATTTGTCTCTGACCCTGGCAAATACAGCCCTGTACCAGCATGGTGAAGGTTAACTGTAGAAACAGATTAATGGAACAAAATCCTGTTTCCTTGAAATCAGTGAAGGAATAAAACAAGTAGAGGGATAAGGATCTGCTCACGCTAATTATTCCCTAATAGAGGAATTAGGGAATGTAAGTGAAACTGTGAGGAGCCATCTTCAAAACAAAAAATCATGGGAACTATGACAGCACCACACAATATTTATAAAGGGCCTTATGGCTAATTTTTTTTATTCAGTTTCTCCTTCTTAAATCATTTTAACCCAAGACAATAGGTTAAGAACTTACATAATAACCATTTCCTGCTCCTCCCTATACTGATCATTTTTAAATGTGCTATCTCAGATAATATTTTCTCATAAATGGTTGGGTGAAAATACAAACCCAAAGACAATGGAAGAGTATGAAACATGCAGAGCAGTATTTTCTCCAGGGGTCAATGTCCCATCAGTTTAAAAAGCTCAGAGGCCAGCAAAAAAAGTAGGCCATTAAAGAAGAAAAACAGATGAGTCAGTATAGTCACCTGATTAGCAAAAAGAAGGTAACATTTGGTGGAGTCCTTAGGATCATTTGTGATATGACGGATCAGCTGCAACATAGGAGTTATTCCTGTTAAAAAACAAAGCGGTTAAGAAATGGGTATTTCTTTCAAGCCACATAAGGCTGCAGTTTCAATATTAATGCCGCCTTCCTTCAGTCTTCAGTAGGAGCTTAGTTTGCACAGGGCTACATACCTCTGAATTTCTAATCCATGCCAAATGCAGAGGCTGGGGGTTTCTATTATTACAAATCATTTCAAAACAAAACCAAAACCACAATACTTGTATCTGGGGCTTTCCTCTTCAGCATTCTCTATCGCATACAGTAATTTTACCCTCAAGACATTCTCCTAAAATATTTTTCGCCATTGAGACTGAAGCTCAGAGAGATGAAGTGACTCCTGTGAGGTCACACAGTAAATCAAGACTAAGACTCTGAAGTTGCTAGCTCCCAGGACTGAGCTCAAGCCACTGGAAAGCCTCAGTGTCACCAAACACTCATGAAAAGGAATACAGGTGGAAGCGCTCTGCTATTCAAGCAAAATGTTTGATACTCCTCACACGCATCCATAAAGACGTCTTCGCTCTCTAGACATTCCATATGATGAGAATAGTTTTACCTGTTCCTCCAGCTATCATCCCAAGATGCTTTGCAAACTTCTTCTCTGCTTCAGACTTCTTATGAGGCTTGATAAGAAAGGTACCTAGAAGAAATATTCAAAACCTATAGGTACATTAACTCCTAAACAAACATGGATACAACTTCCATAGGAATAAATTGCTACAGCCTACCAATTAATTGGGACTGATCTTCTGGAAATGCTAAATGGACTCAGCGCAGCATTGAGCACGAAGAGTAGAAACCTCTTTGTAAACTCCAACCCTAGCTTTGTACAACTGATTTACTCCTTCCCTACTACCCAACATAATTTATAATAAACTCAAGGATTCCCACATCACTGCCTAGAACACAACTTGGCAGCTGTGAATGTTAGTGGCAGCTAAAGGTAACCACAGCCTACAGAGAAGCAGGTTTCTTAGGCCATCTTCATCATCCTCACTTGCACCATGGATCTAGCCATTTGTGTGTGTCCACATTCAATGGAGCTGTATTAAACCAGCATCAAGCAAAAACCCCTGCAAAGGTTAGAATCAGGAATGTTGGAGTCTTGCATACTTTTATCATCAAGCACTTTATTATTGTAATTCATTTCCAGTTAATGAGATCCCCATGACACTCGCAGTCCGCTAGGTGACTACGTTCTGGTATCCTGTGATGAGAAGACCTTGCTGATTTCTGCTCCACACCTGGGTATACCATTGCTTCAGAACTGTCACAAAACCGGACAGTTTGTATTTGAATTAATCTCCAAGGACCAAGCCAAGTGAAAAGCCCATGAAAAGTATCTTACACGAAAAGCACTTGACATATTCCAATCATCTTTTAAGAGATCTGTAACCAGTAACAAGCTTTCCTAACTACTACTCTTTATAGCAGCCAAAGCAGAGCAGAAAGGAACGTTTGTAAAACATGCACCACTCATTTCCTCTGAGATATAACGGATTCATCAGTATGTTACTCATCAGAAAAGGTCATGATCCAGAGAAGCGCTGAGCTCTCATCCCCCTGAAGTAGGAAGTTAAGTGCACAGTCCCTCTCAGTCAAAATCAAAGCAAAATCTTTCACTTGCATCTTGAAAGAGGATTACTTCTCTAAACTTACTTCCTCCCAGTCAACTCAGACCTGGTTTAATCATGAAATAGAGCTGGCTCACAGCGGGTTATTTAGTAACAATGCTGAGATTCTCAGAGGGCATTTTAGGCCACAGCCTCCCTTGCTGAAGCAGCATCTGGAACATCTCTCTCCATATGTATAGCTGAGGTACTATTTCCAGTGCAGCCTTGCCAGTAATATAATGCAACAGCGATTTTTTTCAGATTTAATTATATGGTCCCAAGAGTGAGACAACAACCAGCTATTCCTCACACAAAGTAGACAGTACTCTTTCGCATCAGATCAACTCTGATGGGCTCTTGGTCAAGACCAGGAAAGGTGGATTTTCTCTTTTCCGCTTTTTAAAAAAGATTCTCCACAAAGTTGTCAAGTTTTATAAAACACCTCTGAAAATTACCAATACAAGTTCCTCCCTTTTGCTCTCCCACCTTCATGTCACAGTACCTGCCCCCTTATAGACAAGGAGCCCATTTGGCCCTCTGAAGTCAATAATATCTCCAATCTTCATGTCATCTAGGTACTGGGACATCTTCCCACCTTCTGGAAACTTGGGATTCACATTTTTGTGGTAGACCTGTAAAAACAGTAATTTGTATGATATCAACCACTAGCTTGCCTGCAGACAATATTACAAATTGTAGAACACAGTATTGCAGGTCTGAAATTTAGCATCTGAGAAAGAAGTTGAGACAATTCTTTGCTCTCAGTTATCTCTTGTGCCTTGCAACAGGAAGCAGCCCAAGTAAGTAAAATGCTCTCTCAAGCATGTTCCTATGCTTTCTGCAAACAGCCAGCCTAACAGGAATAGGTGGCACGCAGATTATGTACTGGTGCCCTCATTTCACTATCACTCCAGCAAGACCCCTCTGTTGCCCCATTTTTGTAATTGCTCCTTCTAAAAATAGCATTGCTGCATCTTTTCAAGACTTTCCCAGAGACTTCAGCCACGTGATAACTTTTTCACCTTTCAAAGCACATAATAAGTATTAAGTAGTTAAGAACAATTCACCATACTTGTAACATGAAGAACAGAGCACACAAAAGAAGCCCAGATTTTTGCCTAAGGACAAACTTTATTGTAGAAAAGGATTAGAAAACCCAGAAGTCACGGGATCAAATCAGACTGCATTCCCTAGCTTAAAGGATTTACCTTGTTTCTGCATCCCATTTTCTTAATCAATAAACCCACCAGCACAACTTCTGACGCTTACAGACGTATAATTGCAATCTCTGTAGGGTCACCAAAGATAGCAGTTCTTATTGACTTGTTTTCTACTTACAGCTATTAGCAGTAAGTACTAGTAGCAGCATAAGGAGCTTGAGGGAAAGTGATCACTATTCGTGCGTTGCCAAAAGAAGAGAATACTAGGGAAGTTCCCGCAGTACTGCCAAAGAAGTGATTCCCTTCTCCATCTTCCCTACCTCTGTTATCTCCCAGTGACATACAGCAGATATACACAGAATACAACTTACTATTCAAGGATGATGTGAAGTGAGTTGTTTGCCATACAGTCATCCTATTCGAAAGATCAATCAAAATAAACTCTACAATTCACTAAAATGAAGTACTTTCCTTCCTTCCAGTTAGCAATTTATCTGTATTAAAGGAAACAACATTTACCTTTATAATTAAATCAACATAACCTTTTGTCTCATCACTGGAAACTGGGGTATAGGCTCGAATCACCAGATTACCATTGATTTTTGCAGAAAGGTAAACGTGTTGGCCTGGGGAGAAAGAATTACAATCTGATTATTTTTTTTTTTCATCCCCGATTTTAAACTTTTCTCAGGCCTGGAGGACAAGACAAGAGAGAAAAGCAGGTATTGTAACCCGTTAAACACAAGCAATGATGGAGAAAATCTTTACCATATAAAATGCTGCATAAAACATCTAGTCTCTTTTCTTTTGTTAGCAAGAGTTTCTGGAGCACAGGGTAACTGAGGAGAGCTGGTACGTTACAGAATCAAGGGTAAGATACCAGGAAAGTAGGACATTTATAGTAAAATAGTGATATAGAAAGTTTGTTGCTTATTCTCAAATGCTGTCTATATTTTGGGTTCTGCTGTTCTCATGTTCATTAACAAAGTGAAAATACGGATGCACCAGTTCACATAGGCAAAGAAAGAAATAAGTATTACGGCTTAATAGCAGCAATCTCTCAGAGCAAACTTCCCAGAGATTCTGCACCAAGACATCAAGAACAAAGCCTTGGGCCGTATTCCTTCTCCATAACTCCTGCCTCTGTAACGCTGCGGCTTCCACAGCATTGGACACTGCCGTCCACAGAGAGCTCTTTGTCCAACCGAATGCTCCGAGAGGCAGACTTTCTAAAAGGCACCTGTTTCTTTCTGCTGATTAAAAGAACTGAAACTCCTTGCCAAGAGCAGTCTCCTCAGCCAGACAGCACTAATCTAGAGAGTTGTATGGAAAAACAAAAAGCAGGAACAGTGCTAACAGAAAACACTTTATTTTTAGCAAAATGATCTTGGTAAAGAGCGGAAGGCAGGAATCTCCCAGGAAGTAATCTGGCCCATGCAGTTTCAGGATCTTATTCCTAAATTCTTAAGAATAAAGTTTGGATAAACACAAGCACTGCAGGGCACATCTCAATTCGTTCATCATTTGTCTAACTGATGTGGACAGTTCAATTACACTTTCCCGTACAAGCCAGAAGAGAATGTGGAGAAATACTGCTGCCCTTGACAGGCCGCACACAAGAAGGATGTGCTCACAGCACGGAATGGGAAAGACCCTGACACTTGCCATACGGCAAGGGAAACTGCAAAACAGTACAGCACAAAGAGGGCTACATCTGCCACATCTGCTGATCAGAAAGGGAGACTTTCCCCTGCATCGATTACCATTAATTCAAGGTCCAAGGTTCAATGTCATCAGTTTTGCAGGGTACAGGAAAGAAGACTGTGCCAATCCTAGTCTGAAATGAACTTCATGCCACAGAAAGCAAGACAAAGTTGTACACGTATGTGTGTAAATCAAAGGTAAGTGCATGCACAGAAAAGGCTCTGAATATTTCAACATCTTCTATATACAGTAGTTGTATTTTCCCCTTTGTTCTGCAAAGAATAGTTACAAGCTTCCCAGGCAGAAGAATTGTTCTTTCTCATCTACAAGTGTGACTATATTCGTCAAAATCATGAGGGCAGTTGACAGTAAACTGAGGGCACCAGATGGAAGTAGAATGCAAATAAGAAATACGAAAAAGCTTTGACAGATACCATTCTTGCCTACATCCTGACTGGTGGTGAATGTCATCTGACTCAGTTCAGCTTCACTGTTCTTGTTCTAAACTACACCGTACAATTTAACACAAGCAGAACAAAGCACACACAAAAGATCAGAAATACAACTCTTTGGAAAATCTGACATTTCTCTCTGACACAGCAGCATTCAGATGCAGCTTTTAACTCCTTGCTTTGCTGAGCATTAAATTCCCAAACAGTCAGAAGTCCAAGAACTATGAGTACAGTTATAAATCCTAAAAACAGAAATACATGTAATGAAGTGTTTTCAGCACTTACCTACAGGTAATCCTAATATATGGTCTGGTGAAGGTAGCCCAAACCGGAATTTCTTAGTATCATGACTGATTTCCTAAAAAACCAAATAATATCAGAACGAGGTCCACATCACCCCTGCTTTTGAATTTCAAGCTCTACTCGATATTATATGCTTCAGTAAGCCTGTTCTTTGTTAGCATGCAAGCCAAATCCTAGGAAGGAAGCAGAAATGGCTTTGAAAAATAAAGTTTAAACAGATCATAAGTTTTAGAACCAAAGTCTTTTTCCTCTTTAATTCCACAAAGAGTGACTTTTGCCTGTCTGTGCAATCCCTACAGCACCTTTACATAAAGAAAATCTGGAAACCTCTGTTGCCCAAGGCCAGTGAGCACATTTCATAATTTTTCGCCAAAGATCAGGCAAGACACGACATGCAGAAGCACTGGCTGTTGGGGTTACTTCTCACTGAAGCACCTTGGACAGAAATCAAAGGAGAAACACAGCTCTAAACTAGGAGTTAAACATACAAAGAAACGAGTCTACCCTCCTCTTGAAACAACCGCAAAACCACAGTGTAGGCATAAATACCTTTAAGAATCCTGTCCTACCCTAGGGAAACACTGCAGCCTGGCTGCGGGAGTCACAGCCGCCCCCTCAAGGCCCTGCGCACTTCTCCGGCCCCGAAGCCTGGGG